ATATATATATATATATGTNTATATATATGTGTGTGTGTATTGTGTGTGTTTGTTTGTTTTGTTGTTGCTGTTACTTATATATATATATATATANCGACACACACACACACATACATATACATACACACACATACACACACACACACACACACGCATATATATATATATATATATATATGTCTATATATATGCTGTGTGCGCACGCGAGGTCTCATATCTACATCCATGACTTCGAAACAAACCTCGGTCGCCAAAAGTCTATACACACCTTAAACTTGCGCCAATATCGAGTCTCGGCTGTTGCTCTTTGACTAAGACGAGGAAAGCGTTTGACCGCCACCTTTTTATATTCCGTTAATTCAGACATCGTCGCTATATTTATGTAGTTTATATATTGGTTACAAAGCGGTGATCTTGGCCTTCAATACAGCCGCAATCGTATGAAGGTGTGCCAAGCAATATTAATATTCCTAGATATCGGAGGACGTACGATAGATCGGCAGTATTCTACAACCTTATCTATGTGATATCGCTTCTGTCACTATCTCAGCTATCGACTCCTATAAGCATTGCCGAAATCTCTGATAAATGGTCCATGTGCAGGTTGGAGCACAAACCTGGTTTGTATTTTTTGAAAAATGCATTACACAATGTGCACGAGCGGATTTTTCGGGCACCAGTTAACCACTCAGACAGTTCGTCCCTCGTCAAACCGTTTTAAAATTATTAGTTTTGAGTGCAGGATAAACGTTTATGCTATAATGTACGATTGGGGGCTCGTAGTTTTATTTTTATTACGTTAGTACGGAACGTATAAAAATAGAATCATTGTGCGTTTACGTGCAACGTTTACTGGATGGATGCAAACCGGCGTTAATCCACCACTTCGGATAGTATGTGCACGTGCGTCCAATATCACAGTCTGTACACACTACACACACAATGACAGAGTGACTTTATTTTATTTTTATTGAATTCAATTTTTCTATACTTCAGACAATCTGCATATATTCTGTAAATCCAGTACTTATCACCCATACCTCAACAGCACTTGCTTCGTAATTAGTGACGAGTGTACTATAGTGAGGTCCTACACTAGTGGTGTTTATATGCTTGTATAAGCATACGCCTCTTAGTATAGTTGTATATATACAGTGCATTTTCTACGCCATCGCACAAGTAGTCATGCCGGCACTAGCTCAACCGGACGCGAGCAACAAGCGTATCAAGCTGGAATCAACACAAGATGGCGATTTTGTACGTGGACGTAAGGGCGAGAGTAAACCAAAACAAAGTATACCCGAAGTGAAAAAAGAGGCGACAAGCTCTGTCGCACTCAAATCCTTGTTTGGTCAGACAGAGCCCGTAGCAGTCAGTAAAGCCGGGAAAAAAAGCAGTGGCAAAGATGCCAAGAGTAAAGATGTAAAAGTCAAGAAACGCGACAAGCATGAGAAGAAAGCTACGACTGTACAACAGCTGAGTATCAAACGCCTGGATGCGGGTACAGTGTGTATGGGACAAATTAAATACGTATCGGATTACTTTGTGCTCGTTACACTGCCCAGTGGACTGTCTGGTAAGGTCATGATCACCGATGTGTGTAGCGAACTCTCAGCAAAGGCTGCCGCAGAGGCGGATGCCAGCGACAGTGATGAGGAGGATAGCGATACTGAGAGTATGCAGGAAGACAAAGAGAAAGAATCCAACTTACCAGAGATGCGCGACTTGTTTTCGCTGGGACAGATGGTGGTATGTGCGGTCAAACAGGTGGTTAAGAATGTAGGCGGAGGTAAGAGAGAGATCAATCTGACTGTAGATCCTGCGACACTTAACAGGGGATTAAAACCAGAGAATGTGCAGAACGGTGGCATTCTATCGGGAGTAGTGACGAGTATTGAGGATCATGGATATCTGGTGTCTTTTGGTGTCGATGGGCTCAAGGGATTTATGAAAAAGACCAGGTACGTATTGAATATATCATAACGTATATCTTATTTAACTGCTTTAGTCGTCGACCCTTAAATATGCACTGGTGTCCCATGTGCTTTCATTTTCACTCTAATCATACTTCATAAACGTTTATGCCCTTTTTTCTGCTCTTCAATAGTTGAATGAGTCAGTGAGTTTTTTTTAATCGACTACTTCGGTTTTGATACTATATGTAACTATACAGATTTTTCGAACCTATCTACATACAAACATATATATGTATGTTATGATGATAAAGATAAGGATGTGTATATATAAACATTTTTTTTTGTCAATTTACAGATATATATTATATATATCAATGTATGTGTGTTTGTATAGATGTATATGTATTTATTTTTGTATATATATATATATATGCGTGTGTTGGGTTATCGCTTGACCCGTAAAGTTTTATAATCATGTGTTGCCAATGTGAAATTCACGCCGCGTAATGCATATGTATATGCGCTACAGCTGCATGTGCAGCCACATCTTTTAAGAACCCAACACGTTATTATATACATCCTGGACACTTGACTATGTGAGTGCACAAATACTTGTATATTGATATTAATATTTTATCGAAAACCTGTTGGAAGGAAATCATGTGTATAGGTGTGCTATGATATATACATATATATTTATATATATATATGCATGTATAATATATTATATTATAATATATATTTTATATTTATATATATATGCTACATTTTAGTGAGATAAATATCGTACTGAATGGATTTGTATTCGCTATTGGCTCGCATGAAATTTACTACTAGTGTGTGCATCATATTCACTTCAACAATGTAGCTATCATGGTCACAGACTTGCATCGTACTTTCATTCTTGAGTATACGGAATGATCGTATGCGTCCAGTTTAAAATGTGAAGATGAATGAGATTATATATGAACTGATAGTTGCGTAGGTGATTGATCACCTATATACACATATGTTGGACACCGTGCGTGTGAGGTTGCATGTAGTGTCGGCAGTATAAGTATCATTGTTTATATATGCATTTTCAGAAGTAAGATACATTATATGTGCCTTCGGATTATGTTGTTGATTTGGCAATACATGTGGGAATATCTATTGTGTCCCTATTTACACATTGACTTGTATACATTACATACTATATTTAATCTGTTGTCTGCGATCTGTGCTAAAGGAAACCATGTGTACACGAATAAAAATCAAATTTGATACTTTCGGAATCGTATAGGAGCGTTCGTATGTATGATGTTTAATGTGTTGCGCAAATATACTGCGAGTTTCGCCACTTCGTGCAGCGATCTACCTTCTTTGAGTATATATTGCCCCGGCGCTTACCCTCGCCCACTTTTTTTCATGTGTATTGGTTTCTGGGTTGAGATTGACTGTAGCTCGTACGCACGTTCACTTCCGTGTTGTCGTGAGGTTCTCAGGGATAGGGCAGCTTTGTATTTGTTGGGCGAAGAAGTCCCGATACACAAATGCTATTGCAACAGCTGATCCGTATCTCATCTCACTGCGGCAGTGTATTATTGTACATATAAATTTGGCGTGCTCGACATTGGTCGATATTCGTTGGATATGAATACACAGCGATATATGATGAACCATACAAAACTCTAAGTAGATACGAATCTGTACTCTCCGCCATCCCTTCTCACGTGTCCATCTGTTCCCGATCCCTCACCTCCACAGTGATACAGAATCTGTCAAGCTGTACGCACCCAGGAAATTTTTTGTCGAGGACATGAATGCCGACGGACGCACTGCCACGGTTGTGCTGGACAGCTTACGCATCAGTTCAGCCGTAGCACGCTCGAGTGGAAACTACACTTACAGCACACTAACCGCAGGATTGCTGGTGAACGCGGTGGTGTCGGAGGTGCTGAACGACGGTCTTGCGCTTACTTTCCTTGGCTTTGATGGAAGTGTTGACCTGTTCCATCTCCGGGAGGTTGTGGACCCGAGTATGCTGGAGCAGAAGTACCCGGTAAAGACAAAAGTAAGAGGGTGTGAACTGCAGCGATAGAATCATTTGCCTGCCCGTCTGTGCATGTGGTTTTTTTTCTTCTCGTTTTTTCGGGGATCGTATGTGCCTTATTCTTTGTGGAGTATTCAGACCACTATGTCATTTTCCTGCTTGTACGACTAGAACTCACGACCTCTTGTGTCTACCCGTACAACCAGGTGCGTGCGCGTATTCTACACATCAACCGAGCCACGAAGCGCATCGGCTTAACTCTACGCCCGGATTTGGTGGGCCTAAAAGCTACCGACTTTGCACCCGTAGAAGTTGGACAGAAATTTGATGGCCTCACAGTAATTCGCAGTACATCCAGTGGACTGTTGTTCAAGCTGCCTGAAGTTGCAGGGGGGCATTACGCATATGCTCATTGTACTCGTATCAGCGATGACAAAGACTTTGAACTGGCCGGGAATAAGAAGTACAAGGTGGGCAGGACGATCCCATGTCGAGTTACCGGGTTTAACACAATCGATGGCGTTGTGAATGTCTCCGCGCAACCGTCGGTAGTAGACCAGAAGTACTATCGCTATGAAGATGTCAAGGCGGGTATGAAGATCGAGGGTACAGTTACCAACATATCGGATTCCAGCATGTACATTCAGATTTCCAAGCAAGTGCGTGGCGTCTGTCCTTCGTCGCACTTCGCTGATTTCCAGCTGAAGAATCCCAAGAAGAAATTCCGCGAGGGTATGACCATCAAGTGCAAAGTCTTGTCGGTTGACTGCGCGAAGCAGCGCTTGGTGCTCACCCACAAGTCCACACTGGTCAAGTCGACTTTGCCAGCCATCACGTGCTTTGAGGATGTCACATCTGGTATGTCTGGTTCTCACTTCAGGCAGATTGGAGTCCCACTTGATGTGCTGTAGCAATTGATTGAGAGGCCTGTGTTCTCCTCGCCGAGTCGTTGTTTACCTAGCAGGCTCTTACAGTAGTTAATGCTGCGCCCCATTGCGTGAGCAGTTAGTGTCGCGCAATACTTTTCAATCTGATTAGAAGTTACATTATTGTTCGTTTACTTATCAACTGTTTTTTTTTTTCGGATATAATATAGGTCTGAAGACTGCTGGGTACATTTGGTCAGTAAAGGAACATGGCTGCCTAATCAAGTTCTACAACAATGTTGTTGGGATTATGCCGAACGCGGAACTCAGACGGGCTGGTGTCACAGACGACATGGTACAGGGCAAGGCTATCAAGGTGATAGTAGTGCGTGTAGATAGCGAGAATAAGAAGTTCTACCTCGCCCTCGCACCAGCCAATGATGAGACCACTGAAAATGTCGATACAGATGCACTCACAAAGGTGCAAACCGGACAGATCGTATCTGGTAGTATTATCGGTAAAACTAAGTTGGGGCTACAGGTGCGTATCCACCCGTCGAATGCGGTGGCGTTTTTACCCGCCACACAACTCACAGACCACCCCACGCATGTTGAACGCTTGCACGAGCACTATGCTAATGTCAAGGGTGACTTGAGCAAGGTGTTGGTACTGCACAAGGAAGAAGCTACTGCTCACGCGCCCGTTAGAATAACTCTATCCATCAAACCATCGTTCTTGCGGTCGGTGAAAGTGGTAGAGTCTGACGACGACGATGAGAGCGCGGCGAAAGCAGAGGTCAGCACGCTCCCATCATCAATTGACCAATTGAGTGTGGGCGCTTTGGTATCCGGTTATGTACGTAGTACCGCCAATTACGGTGTATTTGTGGGTTTTTTGGGTGATTTGACCGGTCTTGCGGGCCTAAAGGATGTGTCTGATAAGTTTGTCTCTAAAACTGAGGAGCACTTCACAGTCGGCCAGTCCGTGATAGCCAAGATCACCAAGATCGACACCAACGCAGGTCGGGTGAACGTGTCGCTCAAGATGTCTGACTGTGCTACACCTATGACTGAGTTATCGCACCACAAGAACTACTTCACGGAAGAGACGCTCCTCACAAACGCCGCATACAAGGCGATGTCGTCAGAGGCTCTGGCCGTTTTGAAGGAAGAGAACATTTCTGGAACTATGAGCGGTACGGTGACGGCTGTGCGGCCTTTCGGTGTGATTGTGGATTTGGGTGGCGGACTTACGGGCTTTGTGACCACGGAACAGACCAAAGGTATGAAGTCTGTGGTAGCTGGTAACGACGCTATGGGTCGCCTGTTGGATGTGGATGCGGCAAAGAAGGTGGTGGATCTAACACTCAGACCTGAAGCGCTTGCCAGCGACAACGGCAAGAAATTGAGCAAGAAGGAGATTGCGGCCTTCCACAAGGCCGTGGAGAAGCACGAAACGGTCGCGATCAATGTTGAGCTGGTTAAGGAGGACTACCTCGTAGTAACTATCCCCAAGTACGACAGTATGCTGGGCGTGGCGCTGGTGAAGGACTACAACGACACATCGAAGCCTTTCAACATATACTCCATCGGACAGAAGTTGAGTGCTGTTATTATATCTCCTCCTGCGCCTGCGAGCACCGACAAGAAGGTGCCGTGTCTGCAACGTTGTATCCTCCGCTTGAATGTCAACAAGGAGAAGAGTGCCGCCGTCGCCGGCGCACACGATACCGTGCATGACAGTAAGCACCGGTTGGCTGAGATGCGCGAGGGTAATATGGTAGAGGCCGTCGTCACGAAGCGTACCGGAGGTCAGCTCAATGTAGATATCGGCGCACATATCAAGGGCCGTGTATTCATCACCGATATACTAGATGATAAGGAGGCTCTGGCCCTGGGTACTAACCCCACACAGCAATACACCAAGGGTGATGTGATCAAAGCACGCGTGGTCGGCTTCCGTGACCAGAAGACCTACAAGACACTCGCAATCACACAGAAGAAAACGAACAGAACACTTGTCGAACTATCACTTCGCCCCAGTGTCGTGGGTGATGGCAAGGACGTCGAGCCTATGAAGATGAAGTACACTCCAGTGCGCGCAGAGTCACTCTCGGCTGGAGAATCGGTCGTGGGATATGTACACGAAGTTGTAGGCGATCACGTGTGGGTGCGTTTGTCGTCGGATGTCCGAGCGCGCATCGGAGTACTGGACTGCTCCCGTGATATCAATGTGCTCTCCAAGCTGACAAAGCACTTCAAAGACGGTATGCCCGTGAGGTGTACCGTGACCCATGTGAATCTGGAGAAGGACGCCGTGGATCTCACCATGCTAGACAGCCCCACGGAGCAGGCCAAGCTAGAGATAGGCACGGAGACGGTGGGCATATACAGACAGATCCTTGCGAACCAGACCGCTGTGCGTGTGGAGATCCCGGGCCACAAGTTTGGCCTGGTGCACGTCACCGAGATGTCGGATGAGTACGCTGAGGATGCGTTTGCCGGTATTAAGGAGGGCGCGATTGTCAAGTGTGTCGTAGTGGGGCTTGAGGAGGATGGCAGGCGTATAAGCCTGTCTACGCGCAAGTCAGCCTTGGCCGGTGACCATGTTGAGGCTATCGAGGCCGTGGATGTGCGTATCGAGAAGGCCAGCGATCTGGCCGAGGGACAGATTGTTAGGGGTTACGTTAAGAGTATATCTGAGAACGGGTGCTTTGTGTGGCTCAACCGTGAGCTGTGTGCACGCGTCAAGATCGCGAATCTGTCGGACGAGTTTGTGCGTGACTGGAAGACTCTGTATCCCCCAGGCAAGCGTGTGACAGGCAAAGTGCTGTCCGTTCAGGAATCCCCGATTGAACGCGTGGAGATGTCGCTTAAAGCAACTGTCTTGGATCCATCTTTGGCCGCTGCTAAGAGTGCATCTGCCGTCACTTTCGAAACGCTTGAGAAAGGCATGACTGTTACTGGCACAGTGCGTGCCATCGAGCGTTACGGCGTATTCGTGAAGATTGACGGCGGCGAGGCTACCCGTCTCTCTGGATTGGCTCATATCTCCGAGTTGAGTGATGTGTCTATCTCAGATGTTACGAAGGTGTTCAGCATAGGTGACGCTGTGAAAGCTAAGGTTTTGAAGGTAAGTTCTGTTCACAAATTAGTACCTGTCGTATTTTTAGAATATATCATATTAGTATCGTGCCAGCTCAGAGTATGTGCATGAAAAGTGATCGTGTGCGTAGAATTGCATTCAGTATTTGTTAAATCTGTGTTCCAAATATGAGGGAAATGAATCTCTTAATATGCTTGTACATTTATGATAGCACATGAAAACCTCGGGCAGTTTTGTGAATAGCATCCGTGACTGGCTCAACTATTCTCAAACATGGTCACTATATTAAAAATTCACTAAAATTCACTGTACAGCTTGATGCATAAAATAAAAATAACTAACCCCGACCGCGTTATCGATTACAGCTTGATGCTAAGAAGAAGCAAATGTCTTTGGGTCTCAAGGCGTCGTACTTTGCTGACGAGTCGGATAGCGAGAGTGATACGGACATGGAAGACGCCTCCGACGATGACAACGCCGCTGCGGCAATCAGTGATGCCGACGAAGACATGGGTGAGGTTGTGCAAGACAGTGATGCCGAAGTCAGCGAGAGTGAGGAAGAAAGCGAAGACGACAGTGAAGGTCAGGAGGAAGAGAAGCCCAAGAGCAAAGGTACCAAGAGAAGCGCCAAGGAGATGACTCCGGAAGTTGAGGTGGACTCGGCCACTGCTCTGCCCGCCGTTGGGTTTGGAATTGGTTTTGGAACGACTCTCGCGCAGACGTAAGTAAACTTGGCAGGTGCACATAGTCTTTTTCAGTCGTTGCGGTGTAGTAGTGATCGTTGATCTCCCGTTGGATTGCAGTGTGCCACTAAGGTCTACATTGCGTTTTATATGATATTTGGACACTTTCCGCATACAAACACTTGGATCACTTTTCATTTATCCCATTCTTGTCCTCGTCCACACAGTGAGGTTGAGGAAGACACAGCGTTGCCCGAAGACGCCGACTCTTCAGATGACGACAGCGACGCGGAGGAGACGGTCAAGAAAGGAGCGTCTAAGCGTCAGAAGAAGCGAGCTGCACGGGATGAGGAAGAGCTTCTGCGCAAGAAGGAGGCCGCTCTACTGGATCCCAATGCGACACCCGAGAGTGCGAATGACTTCGAGAGGCTTTTGATGGGGTCGCCGAATTCATCGTATCTGTGGATCAAGTACATGGCCATGCATATTGGTCAGGCCGAGGTGGATAAGGCGCGGGAAGTATTTGAGCAGAGTATTAAGACGATCTCGTATAGGGAGGAGAGAGAGAAGTTCAACATGTGGAAGGCTTATATGAATCTGGAAGCACAGTACGGGGTGGATGATAGGGCGCTACTCAAGGCGTTTGAGCGTGCAAACTTGTCCAACGATCCTAAGAAGGTGCACTTGCACCTGGCTGAGATCTACAGGACGCTGGATGGCAAGAAGGACTTATTGTTCACCATGTACGAGACGATGGTGAAGAAGTTCAGGGGCTCTAAGAAGATGTGGATTCTGTATGGTCTAGACAAACTAAAGGATGGCGATGTAGAGGCAACCCGTGCTATTCTTAAGCGTGCCTTGAAGGCGCTACCAAAGCGTAAACACATTGCCACTATCATCAAATTTGCACAGATGGAGTTCAAATTCGGAGATCCAGAGAGGGGAAGAACCATCTTTGAGGAGGTGCTAGCCAATTACCCGAAACGTGTGGATCTGTGGTCTGTATATATCGATATGGAGTTGCGGGTAGCTGACGAAGCACATATACGCCACTTATTTAACCGTATAACCACTTTCAATCTATCTACCAAGAAGATGAAGTTCTTTTTCAAACGGTATTTGGAATATGAGCGCACGCACGGCACACCCAAGACGGTCGATGCCGTTAAAGACAAGGCTCGAGCGTACGTTGAGTCCAAAATGCAAGAATAATGTTTTTTAGGAATAAATTATATATTTAGAATCAATGGCGCTGGCTGGTTGAGAGCGAAATTTTTGTGTATATCCAAACTCACATGTTGAATTGATATTATTTGAGTATGAAGCAGTACGAGAAACCATTGTAACTCGACTGGTCGTTGACCGGCCCATGGTATCCGTGTATACACAGCTCGATATATCAAAAAAGAAGAGTGTATTTTAAATGCAACTTAGTCGAAAATCTGCCAACCACGCCTCGCAAAGGGTCAGAGCGTGCAAGAATAACAAGGGTACAATGCTTTATTTCATGATGGCCCCTTATATTCTTTTGGACAGCTCGTCCATTCGGGCTAGTAAGGAACCAACGTTTGCCTCCGTTGTTTGAGAGTTGGTTTTCAGACCACTGTCCACCTGCGTCATTGTTTGTAGGCAACAGAATGAATTAACCGGTGAGTGCTTCGGCAACCGTTGTCGAAATTACGTATGGTGCCCAAATTAATCATAGGCAAACTGTAAACATGCTGTTCGAGCTCTTTACGATGTTCACACAACAGCGCCACATTTCTGTGGGACACAATCGCATGTACATGTCTGTGTTACACAACCACTGATAAAGTCGCAAGTATCCGATAAACTCGGATACTCGAGCGCGAAACTATCACACGCAGCCGTTCAACGGACTAGACTCGCAGACAAGCATGCGTGCACACAAATGCCAGTCATAACTTATTTATCTCATAAATCCAGAGCACTTGAGATGTATGAGAAAGTCACGCACTAATCAAAGCGAATACAATCATTCCAATACCTGTGATAGCAGTTCTTTCATATGCTGAACAGACTCTAACAGGAGCGATTGCCTATCCTCGAACATGGTCACTGTGTTAGCCATGTTCACTGTCTGCTTAGATCAAGAAACAAAGAATTCGACACTGTGAGCCCATTGTCATAACCCATGTCAGTCTTTTGGCTTTCAGCCCAGCAGTAAAAGAAAAAGACTTCACAGTCACCGTCCGACACATCTCGATGATTGTGGGAATGGCGTATTAATGCCGCGAGTTTCTCAAAATTAAAACAAAAAAAGGGTTGAGTTGGTGTACGGGTTCCACGTACCTGTTCATGAGCACTTCGAAGGGTGTGCAGGCGGTCAATAATATCGGGCAGCATCCGCGAATCTGTATCTTGCTTCATCAGCAAATCATAAGCTGCAGATAGCTACAAACGCGGAAAAATTGCGTGTGAAGAAAGGACGGTAGATATATATATTGGCATAGTGGCGGCTAGAGCAGGGCCAGATAATAATAGGAGAGACACACTGTTCCCGTATTATTCATCGCAAAGAAAAGGACACATACCTATCCTACTATTGTTGTGAATTCCAATTCGACCATTCGTATAATTTGTTCTTCAAAATGTACTTCCTCGTACACAAGCGGTTTCTATATACGTACGCAAGCGGCTTCCACATACGTACACAAGTCTATCTATATACTGTCGCTTGCCTACTATACCTTCTCGTTTTGTACCGGCGTCGGACTGTCGGTTCCCCTTGGAGTCTCGCCCGCTGATGCTTGTAGCTGACGAAAAGACGCGAATGTGTAGCTTTCAGTTAACAACGTGATATACTCTTTGCCCAGACCTACACCCACCAAAACTTGATCTTCAGAAAGTGAACTCGAATCATGACATGTCACTGAAGTATTCCATATCGCGGCAAATGTGTCTGAGATTGAATCAGCTGTTAAACGAAGTACATACTTGTTGGTATTTTTTAGTCAGCACCATCATTTTACTCTCGTCCAGGTATTGGAAACGTGCGGCCGCGGTACTCAACAACTCGCTGAGCGAGAGATCGCTACCAGAAATACCCAGCGACCTGGCTAGATCAGTCTGCAGTTGATATGAAAGATGCATAGAGTTGAGAAGCCACCAGTGCTTACACATATTTAGACGCGAATGGGCGCGTAACTATGACAACGTACATGCATCTTGAGGCGTCAATAAAATACAAGCTACTCATGTAGGTATTATCAGTTCATTTAGATGCCAGGGACAAATGTTGCTGTGATTATATCCTGGTAGTTCTCTTCCACAGAGCCGTTGAATATTAGCATGTATATTCCACATCCAGCGAGGGAATATACTTGAGTGAGTATAGCGGGACCGCCTTTTTCGAATCCTCAGCTTAGACAAATATTCGGATACTACAGCAGGAACCATAGTACCCCTGTACATCGCAAACAAGCGTATGTGGTGCAAGACAACTGAGCGCTTTCAAATCACGGGATACGTACCACAGACTGGTGCAAGTTTGGTCCAAGAACAGTTTCAAGAGCTGCTAGTCTCCTTTCTAAGTCGGCCATGTGTGAGCCTGTCGTAAGCGCTGCAACGTCCGGCTTGTAATATAATTCGTACGTGACCCCTAACGAGAGATGATACGAATTATGCGGATGTGAGAGATTGTAGTTCATGAGAGGAACCGCTATGTACAGATTGACCAGACGGTGGCGTATTCATTTGCTGGGGTTTGTCTGAAACTCGGTTGACCGACTGCTGTCTCCATCATCTCTGCTTTGATTTCGTGTTCTAGCCCCACGTGAACTAATCTGCCTGCCTCGCTAACAGATGCGGTATGCGACGCATTCAAACCCACATATTGACTACCACTTTGCTGGCTAACTGAGTATACTACGCTTGTGAGTGGATTAGGCCATGTTGACCTCTGACTTGAAATGCAGATTAGCCTCAATGGCGCAGGCGCCCAGATCTCAATCGGTATTATTCCATAAATATAAGACATGCTGATGGCATTGAAGTATTGGATTTCGGCCTGGGAGCTTTGATGCGTATTGATGTATCCCACTTTGTCCACATACCTTCTGCCTGTTGAGGAGCCGGTGATGACATATCTGTGTCTACCGCCTCGGCTGTTTGCATCGAGGTTTGCTTATACTGGTTAAGTTTGTCAATCAGCCGACGCGTGCTCTGATATGGGATGTCGGATAGATAAGTGCACTCGCGTATAAGGATAATAAAAAGGGGAGAATGATAAGAATCGAGAGAAATCGCCTTCGAATTGAAAAATTCAGTTCATAAATATACCTCGTCACTGAACGCATTTGGCGTAATCATTTTCTCAGCAACGCTCAGCTTTTGAACCATGGCACTGACTTCGTCTGTCAGTTGTGCGGTTGTTTGACAGGCTTCGTGGTCTTTCTCTTGAGACTTGATGTCCATCTCCTTGCCAGTACACAATGAACGGTTTGGATAAATTTAAAGCAGTCGCACATATTCTGCCAGTAGCTGCTTTGCTGATTCATTTGCTCGATGACGAGCATCAAATGAAAATTAGTTTGCACTCGTACCATTGCTCATTGCCACAAAGCAGATGGCACCGGAAGAAATCTAAAAATTCGAAAACGTGCGAAACCACACCCGACCGATTTCCGAGGCTTTCAACTAATCACATCATTATGCCACTACATGATCAAAGGCATAATGGATCATACCTGTGCCTCGTGTATATCTTCCGAGAGTAGTTGTACTTCAGCTTTGAGTCGATTTAATCTCTCGCTTAGGCTTTCCTTACCCTGCGTCATATTGAATGGTCATAATAGTGATTTTCAGCAGCCTGAATTCTTATCCTTTCAAATTACAAAAATAATTCCCCAAAAACATCTACCGATCATCAGCGGCAAGCATGATTTGAGAGACTGCACTGTTTGAAAAATCACTCAAACATAGTATCTGATACACACTCGGGCAGCACTTGCCGATGATTGCTTAGCACAGTACCTTCACATAAAACTTATCTGCCACCTGCACCGAAGCGCCGCTTGCATCTACAAAAGAGAATCAGTGGTAATGAGATCGATGGTTTTCACAAAATATATCTGAACTATCTATTTTTTGCTGTATATAATTCGCACGATGATTTTTTGATAAAATATTTATGCATGTCTCCCGGTTAAAAATATTTCACACAGTAGAATAACTTGTGCAATTTGACGTACATAATGATGGGACGTTAACTAGCAGCTTCATCGATCGACGTACCATATAGCTGTTTCCCTCTGTTGTTTCGTATCTGTTGGAAGTCAATCTCTATATCGTCTTCAACATCGTCCTTGTCGCGTCGGGATGGCAAAGCATCTCTAGAATGAGTAACTCTCACGTATCGTCGTCATAGCCAAACCGAATCCAGACAGAGATAAAGAACTGGTACTGTACATAGAAATATCAAAACAAGTCATCGTACCTCGATCGGAAAAGATGGGGCTCTTGTGTTGTTCACGGCTTTGGCTTCGTAGAATTCTTGCGGAAGCGCAAAGTCCTGGGAAAAAGTGTAACGAGGAGTATGGGGCATATATATTGAGACATTATGATAGTTTTGTGTAGAACATAGACTGATGACAATGATATAAAACCAGATTCATGATTCCATCGTATGAAAATTTCTCATTTTGCTTTTATCACTTAGTGTGTGTATAAAGCCACCCGAAATATAAGTGCATAAGCTTATAGTATATGTACTTCGTAGTGGATGGGAAATCAATAAAAATTTACTTCAACCCACACTATGTCGAATCATACACAGCCTAATTAAAACTGACGAAACAAGGTAATACCAAGATAATTGAAAAG